CACTATTTAGAAGATACGGCTTTGACAGTTTTATGTTGATAACATTCATCTTTGCAGTGCATAAAATATTCAGAGCACATCTGTAATACATCAGAAGTTATATCCCACTTAGTGTGCTGCTCAGACTGTAATACAAGTTCACGTTGCAAAGTAATGCTTAACTTGGCCTGACAGCAATTATGGGGACATAATCTGATTTTAAGAAATCACACATTGAGTTAACCTTAAAATGTTTTAATATTCATTAGGACATTAATTTTCATTTTTAAATGAATTTTTTTGTGGCTGCTTGATATGAATTTATTTAATAATGGAGCCTGCAAAAAGGTATTTTCCAGACTGAGAATCCCATTTTCTGAAATCTTAGTCAGTACACTGGTTTTATGAAGAAATTAGAAATTAATAAATGGATAGAGTTGCTTCCACTGAAATCTCCCTCCATGTATACACTGTCCAACTCTAACATCTTACTTTTAATAAATCCAGTGACTAAACACAATTTTTTGGAAGTACTTAGAATGTAAATACACAGAGTTTTCAAACAGAATGTTTTAAAGGAAATACCGTGTTGTAACAAATTTATTTTGATGGGATTTGATCACTGCTTCATATGTTTCAAGATTGGCACTTGAGTGCAATGCTGAATTTTAAAAGAATGCTACATGCTTTGCTTCTTTAGAGAGTGGAAACCTTCTGAGACTGAGCTAGATGTTTAAATTAGTAAGGATTCTAGCTCGGACACGACTACTGCAACCAGGATTTTTTTCAGAACAATTAATTTTAGTACTTTGTGTAAAAAAAAAAAAAAAAAGATTCATTTACAGTGCCTTTTTTTTTTCCCCAAGTAAATTAATGCAGCTAATCTGTCGTTTGTAACTTACATTAAGATCAAGAAACAACCTGGGTAGAGCCAAAAGGATCATTACATTAAGTAACATACAAAGGCAGAGAGTGAAAAATGAAGACTTGGTGCTCAAAACCCCCCAAATGAAACGGTCGGCTCACCTTTTCAGATCTTCAGTGCCCTAAGAACACGGTGGCGGCAGATAAGGTAGGGGTTTCCCAGCAAATACAGCAGAGCTGCGGAGTCGAGCGGGCGGGAGGCAGAGAAAACTGACAAATCCGCATGTGCTCTGGAATACAGCAACTTACTATCACTGCAACTTAAGGAAAGGGGAGGAGAC